CAAATTGTGATTCTTGATTTACTTTAACTTCTTGAGCATGTGGGTGTTAAAATGAATCAAGAGCATAAACATCAGCATTTCAGTAATGAAACTAAATTGCATCTACAATCTGACTCACCGTAAGTGAAAAACGAAAAGCACCTGCAGATAACAATGGTAACTGCAGAGAAGAGAATGATGTGGTATAAACTTCTTGCATGTTTCCTATTCATTTAAGAGAAATTGCATAGGCATTTCCCATTGGACTGTGCAGTTTGGTGTAGAGCCAGTTTGGTGTAGTGGTTAAGTGCGTGGACTCTAATCTGCGAGACCTGGGTTTGATTCCCCACTCCTCCACTTGCACCTGGCTGGATGACCTGGGCAAGCCGTAGTTCTGATAAGAGCTGTTCTTGAAAAAGAGCAGTTTCTGTCAAGAGCTCTCTCAGCCCCACCTACCTCAGGGTGTCTGTTGTGGGGAGGGGAAGGGAAAGGAGTTTGTAAGCCGCTCTGAGACACCTTTGGGTAGTGAAGGGCGGGATATAAATCCAATCCAATCTTCTTCTTCTTCTATGTGAACTGCCAAACAATGGCCCTTTCTGCACTTTCCTTTTAATCCATATTCACTGTGGTGTCCTCCAAAAATTGAATTCACTAACACTGAATTCAATCTTGTTTTTATTCCATCTTTTTCCCATTCTGCATTATGTTACCTCCCTTCAGTGGCCAGCCTGGTTTCAGCCCACTGTTGCCCTGGGTTTTTTAGATACTGTTTTGCCGTGGATTTAAACCACCTCAGCTTGAACACTGAGAACATCCAGAGTAGCAGGCAAATGTGGAAAGGACCAATGTATGAGGCACCAGTGGGTACTAAGGCTATGCCTGGCTCATTTTCATCGCACTATTCCTTTCCTGAACATGTACACATTTCTCCTTCAACTGACACACTTTCCATCTGCTGACCAGAGATAACTGAAAGCACAAAGCAGGAATTAAGAAAAGGGCTGGATGTTCACATCACTGGATACTGTGCTATCATAGTTCCATCAGAATTATTGACCACCTGAGTATCATGCACACCAGAAAATCCAGAAGGTGAAATATTACAACAACAGTGAAATACCCAATGTGCAAATCTAGCCTAGGTTTCAAGGTGGATAGAGGGAGCACAACAAAAGGCTTCATTGCTCATAGTGTACATACACTCTCATATTTTGCATTACTGTTGTCTTTGGTCAAGCAAATTTTGTTTGTGTGCAAAGGAAAGATAATGGAGTAAGTGTGCACTCTGGGAGGACACTCATTTGTGTCCTGACCAGGACAGAGATTCCTTTGCCACTTGGAAGCCTAGCCATGACCCCCAAAGAGCTGGCTCTGGACTCCGGTTCAGAAGTCTCAGATGAGGAGCCTAGGGAGCCAGACACATGGCCTGGGGGAGAGCAGGAAACTCAGGGAGATCCCTGCGTGGTGCCCCATCTGTTCTAGAGTTTGTCTCTGCGGAGCCTGCAGTTGAGGCTCCTCCACTAGAACTTCCCTCTGTCCCCGTTGATCCTGGGGCAACTAAGCATCAGCCCAGGACCTGGCTCACAAGCCCACCAGGGTAACCCTAGTATGCTTTAATTCCACTTTTCCTCCTGGGAAGACGTGCCCGGCGTGATGACGTCACTTCCTGGTGACATCATCGCAGCACACGTGCTTCGTGTGCACTCCATAAGATCCAGGAACCCAGGCTGAAGCCCCCCCCCACCAGCAGCCAGGTAAGACCTGGCAACCCTAAAATCATACATAGATAGATAGAGCACACTTTTAATTCCCAGCTGAATATGAATCTTTTGCCAGTGTTTAAATGCAAACCAGAAGTCCGTGAATCTCTTACATATTTCTCACTCAACGGGTTCCCACTCAGCCAACTGGATGCCTCCCAGAAGACCAGAATCAGGAAATGAGAAAGAATCACTGACTCTCACCGTTGCCTTCCCCCAGCAACTGAATTACACAATGAGCTTTTCATTTAGTAAGACAAATATCCTTGCATTGTAATATACATTAATGCTGCTAGTTTGATGATTATGATATTTTATGCTCTTTTAAAGCTGATTATTGTGCTCATTTTATATTAATTGTATCTGTTTTACTGGAAACTGCCTTGAACAAATGTGGGGAGGTGGCATATAAATATTTTAAACAAATAAATAAGTGAAGTGACTCACCAACCACACCATGAAGTAAGAAAACAAAGCAATCCACAAAGTAGATAAAATGAAGGTCACCATGAAACATTTCTCCCACCGTGGTTTGCTGCAGTTTGGGACGGTGAAGAAAAGGAGGACTATCAATGGCCATGTCAGAACCCATCTGACTTTTTCAAGTTTTCCTTCTGGATAAAGTGAAAGAGGAAGGAGTAATTTTGCCTTTGAGACACAATCAGATAAAACATAGAAGAAAACGAAGTCAAAGTTGGTTAACGTTGTACATTTTAAAGGAGAGGGATTGAGGGTGGGGTTGAAACCCACATCCCAAGGTAATGTTATCCAACCAGCCACTTCCCAGGTTATGTTTTATCTTTTGACAACACAGATTTCTGTTAAATTGGATTGTCTCTCATTTGATGACTGTTAAAGAAAATCCCTTTCATGACAGATATTCCTTCTCCTACCCATTTGTTTTTAGTAATCAACATATCCAGCCAACAGAAACATTTGCTTGAAGCTGGCCCTTCCTATTATTAAGGGCCAGATTCAAAGTAATGTTCCTTATTTCCACGTGCCAAATTTTCCAGTGACTTGACACACCTGGGAATAATCAGCCAAGAGTACCAAAGCAAAATTCCACTTCCAAAAGTATCCTTTTGAAAAAGAGGGACCTTTCCTATAAGGATATATTCATGTGTGTCAGAAATTGCCCATCGGGGGTAACTGACATGACCTCTTTGTCCTGTCGTAATTCTGATTCAGAGGCGAGTGAATGGATACTAACTTTTGGCTTCGGAATTAAACAGCATTCAGGTATCATATGCAAGCTTCAGTTTGTTTGCAATGAGAACAAACAGTCCTTAAGCTAGTCCGCCAGGGCTGTTGAGCATGCTCAGATGGAGCATGCTACATGAGACTGTGGAGGACTCCGCACTTGGAAAGTTGTCGCTAAAGCTTATTAGGCTTCCCGACGGAGGTTTGACGTGTGTGGCCCATGGTGTGTGGCCTGCACAGAAACCACGAAGAAGATCAAACAGTCCTTAAGCTAGCAATCTCTCTTTCTCGTCCTCTTGCTTGTAGAATCAGAACTGCAAACCACAGAGTCTTTCATAAACTACAGTTTGGTGTCACACACCAGTTGGATGCTTTCACAGATTATATGGTTTCTTTCTAGTTTACAAGATGGGATTCTGCTCCGGAATTCAACTGACTTGGAGGTTTGTTGGTAACATCTAAATGCAGTCTTATATTTGGTTCAGGAAACTTAAATAGGTGGCAGAAACACAGCACAGAGGTTTTCCTTTTGGCTTCTTTCTTCAATTTGCACCTTAATGCTTTTATCTGTATTTAGATGTTGTAAAGTGATACATTTCTACACACTTGGTGATAAACTTTCAAAAGAGCCACATGTCACTTGTGCACCATGTAGTGGGTATCACTGGTCTAGATGAACAGATCTCGAGTACATTTCTGTTACATACTATTTTTCAACAGTTTAGAGGTTGTGTTTTAAACTGCCTAGACTTCATCGTGCCCTTCTCTTCAGCTTTAGCCAAGAACCCTCCTCAACTGTCATTTCCCAGCTTCTCATTTTTGCCTCACATACTCCTGAAATTCTAAAAGGGGTCTCCCTAACAGGGTGCAGGGCTACTCATTCAGCCAATCATATACTGATTCTTTTCGAAGCAAAAGACTCCTGGTTTACAGTTTTAGCTACGTACCTTGGTACCCCTCTGAAATATATATGACTGTGATGAAGTCATGTCATCACAGCCCCCAGTTGGCTAATTGTTACATGAGCTTCTATAGGTAACTGAAATCCCAGAGGAAATTTTATTCATAAATTACAAGACTCTGCATAAAGAAAAAGAATTGGCCAGACTTCTTCAGTTGAGCCGGTTCATAGCACTGTGAAAAATGGTGCCTTTACTTTACTGAGATATTACAAGAAGAAAAGCAAAACATATATAGTTCTACTAATATGTCAGCTAAGTAATGAATCTACATCTGAATGATACAATATTAGCATCAGACAGAGGAAGAATAGATGTTCAGTGTCACTGAGGATTTTAAACTCTTGAAGTCTTCTCTGAGGCACTGGCCTATTCTAGTCTGAAACAGGCAGCTGCTGTCCCATTCAGTCACCTGTGCAGCAACTATCCTAAGGCATAGTCTTTCAAAAATTCTGGATAACCAAATCAAAATTATGCTGGAGGTATAATCAATACCCCGATCTTTAGTTCAAACTATTGTGCTTCCTGTAGAAAACACCAGATACAAACAGTTCTATTTGGTTTCTCTCTCAGTTTGTATTTCTAAAACAAAACTTTCTAAGCAAACCCAAAACTGGGGGAAAGGGGGAACCAGACTCCACCAGTGTAATTCACTAGAAGAACTTATTTCACATTGTAGCATAAATGGTGTTGCCATTTAACTCCGTTAGTAGAGTGGCATTTGGAGCTCAGATGAACTAGCAGCTAAAACAGTTTGATTTTAAGGTTTTTCAAAGCACCTAGAGTATATCATGTCTTTTCCCTGGCACTGCAGTTTTTATACTTAGGGTTGTGTAACACAGGTAGGGTTGCATGCTGGGAAATTCCTGGAGATTTGGGGGTGAAGCCTGGGGGGGGGGAGGGTAGTGGAGGGACCTCAGCAGGGCATAATGCCAAAACAGTCATTTTCTACAGCAGTACTGGTCTCCGTAGTCTAGAGGACAGTGGTAATTCCAGGAGATCCCCAGGCCCCACCTGAAGGTTGGCAACCCTAAACACAGGTCAATGGTAGGTGGCCCCATAATGAAGCAAAGGTACTTTAGAAGTGGGCAGGTTTTGGGTTCCACTGTAGATGGACGAGTGGGATACAGATTTGACCTTAACGCAAACAATTCATTAGAAAGTTCTGAAGTGCAAACTGTCTTGAAATCAACAGGAGTTGCTCAAGCATAGCAATTTTCTCACACATCTGTAATTTCTCTCAGTGAGGCTTTTAGAGGCTCTTGTGGATTTTGTTTCACATGAAGGAGAAGAAGGAGGGAGAAGGTGGCATTCTGGACTGCTCCCTTTCATTACATGCTCTGCCTTCAGCTTCAATGGAAGCTACCAGGATTCCCCCCTCAAAAAAGGCATGTTCTCAGTCCATGCTAAATTAGAAACAACTAATTTTCAGGGGTGAAGCAAGCAACCCTTACGGTTCCAAGTTATTTTTGCTACAACAGAGTATTTCTATATATCAGAACCTCTTCACAACACTCTCCCCATCGTATGCTTGTTATGCACACACCACAAGTATACAAAGGGTTTTTTTTGCATCAGTGATTGCCTACCAGATCTACATTTGTATGCTAATTCTATCTACATGGGAAATTGAGCATTTGGACAGCTGCCCTGGTTGGAGGCATAACACTGAACACTGCTGTTGGCAGCCTTCAGGTAATTGGCAATGGACTTCCCTCACCTCCTGGGCCAAGCAGACAAGACAGGCTAGGGCAAAAGAAAGGGAAGTGATAGAACAATGGCAGAGTTACAGGCAGACTACAGACATGGTGGTATCCTTAGGGCTTTGACTGGTTCTTCATGGCAAATCAACCTTAGTCTCTCATTGTGAGGAAATATGTGAATCTGAGCACGAAAGTCCGGTTGAGAGTCTCTGGATAAAAATAAAAGGAGTAAGAAATAATACTGATATCATGGTGGAGGTCTGCTATAGACCACCAAGCCAGGCTGCGGATTTGGATGAGACACTCCTACAACAGATTACAAAGTTCTCAAAGAGATGGGGCATGGTGGTCATGGGAGATTTCAATTACCCAGATATCGGTTGGAAGTCCAACTCTGCTAAGAATGAAAGGTCCAATAAATTCCTGACTTGTCTTGCTGACAACTTCATTTTCCAGAAAGGGGAGAGGGAAACAAGGGGATCTGCTATCTTGGACTTTATACTTACCAAATGGGAAGAAATGGTTGACGAGGTGAAAGTAGTGGGAACCCTGGGTAATAGTGACCATGTAATTTTGGAATCGACAGTCTTGGGAAAGGTAAAAGCTGTACATAGTAAGACATATAGGTTGGACTTCAGGAAAGCAAATTTTGATAAACTTAAAGTTATGCTGGGTAGAATCCCATGGTCAGAAATACTCAAGGAGAAGGGAGCTCAAGAGGGATGGGAATTTCTTAAAAGTGAAATACTGAAGGCACAAACATAAATGATTCCTATGAGAAGGAAAAATGGGAGGAGCCTAAAGAAGCCAAGGTGGCTCCATAAACAGCTTTCTAAGGACTTGAACAATAAAAGAGACACATTCAGAAAGTGGAAGGAGGGCCTTATAGCCAAGGAAGAATACAAACAAATAACCAGTGGTCATAGAGAGAGAGAGTTAGGAAAGCTAAAGTTCAATATGATCTTAGGCTAGCGAGAGATGCTAAAAACAAAAAAAGGTGTTTTTTTTCTTATGTTCAAAGTAAGAAAAAGAGCAAGGACATGGTAGACCCATTGTGAGGACAGGAAAGTGAAACAGGTGATAAAGAGAGGGAAGAAGTGCTCAATTCCTACTTTTCCTCAGTCTTCTCTTGCAAGGGAAACAGTGCTTAACATGGCAAAAACAGAACACATGATGAGGGAAGGGAGTTGCAGCCTAGGAATCAGCATCGGGTAGTAAATAAAATTCAAAATAAACAGAAATATAATTTTACAGATATTTTTATTGTTGTTTGTTATTATTATTATTATTTAATTTATAGCCCACTCTCCTGAAGACTGGTTAACTCAAGTAGAAGATTAAACTCTGAGGGCCTAACACCTGTAAATAAAACCCCAAGATTATAACTATTTTTTATTTGTTTATTAGGGGTTTTAGTCACTGTCTCACGGTGACTTACAACACTGTTGTGTGTGCTTCTTTGAGAGGACTGTATATAAGTCAGGAGTAGGAAGTGGGAGTGATTGTAAGTTGCAGGTGTATTTTATACTTTGTGACTGAGAATAATAAAGCTAACTTGGAGACTGATGAGGAGGCGTTTTATTGTGACATAACATTTTACCTTGCTGGATCAGGGGAATGCTGTAGACATAGTTTATCTTGATTTTAGTAAGGCTTTTGATAAGGTTCCACATACTATACTTGTTGATAAATTGGAAAAAATGTGGTTTGGATCCTATGACTGCCAGGTGGATCTGTAACTGGTTGACTGATCACACCCAAAGAGTGCTTGTTAATGATTCCTCATCTTCTTGGAGAGGAGTGACAAGTGGAGTGCCTCAAGGATCTGTCTTGGGACCTGTTTAGTTCAACATCTTTATCAATGATATGGATGAAGGGATAGAGGGAAGGCTTATTAAATTTGCAGATGATACTAAATTGGGAGGGGTAGCAAATACGGTAGAAGACAGAGTCAGATGATCTTGACAGGCTGGAAAACTGGTCTAAAACAAATAAAATGAATTTCAGTGGGGATAATTTTAAAGTTCTGCATTTAGGTAGGAAAAATCAAATGCATGATTATAGGTTGGGGGAGACTTGTCAGCAGTATTATGTGCGAAAAGGATCTAGAGGTCTTAGTAGTGTAGATTCAGCAGTGTGATGTGGTTGCTAAAAAGGCAAATGTGTTTTTGGGCTGTATCAACAGAAGTATAGTATCCAGATCATGAGATGTGATGGTACCAGTTTACTCTGTTTAGACCTCACCTAGAGTACTGTGTTCAGTTTTGGGCACCACAATTTAAGAAGGATATAGACAAGCTGGAGCGTGTCCAGAGGAGAGCAATGAAGGTGGTGAGGGGTCTGGAGACCAAGTCCTATAAGGAAAGGTTGAAGGAGCTGGGTATGTTTAGCCTGGAGAGGAGACAACTGAGAGGTGATATGATAACCATCTTCAAGTACTTGAAGGGCTGTCATCTACAGGATGGTGTGGAGTTGTTTTCTGTTGCCCCAGAAGGTTGGACCAGAACCAACAGGTTGAAATTAAATCAGAAGAGTTTTCGGCTAAACATTAGGAAGAACCTCCTGACAGAGTGATTCCGGGAAGGTGGTGGGCGCTCCTCCTTTGGAGCTTTTCAAACAAGAGGCTAGATGGCCATCTGACAGCAATGCGGATTCTGTGAACTTAGGCAGATCATGAGAAGGAGGGCAGGAAGGGCTTCATTAATGATTTGGAGATGGGAGTAAGCAGTGAAGTGGCTAAATTTGCGGATGATACAAAGTTGTTCAGGGTGGTGAAAACCAGTGAGGATTGTGAGGCACTCCAAAGGGATCTGTCAAGGATGGGCGAGTGGGCGTCAACATGGCAAATGGGGTTCAATGTGGCCAAGTGCAAGGTGATGCACATTGGAGCCAAAAATCCTAAATATAAATACACATTGATGGGGTCTGAACTGGCAGAGACTGAGCAAGAGAGAGATCTTGGAGTTGTAGTAGATAACTCACTGAAAATGTCGAGACAGTGTGTGACTGCAATAAAGAAGGCCAATGCTATGCTGGGGATTATTAGGAAGGGTATTGAAAACAGATCAGCCAATATAATAATGCCCCTATATAAATCAATGGTGAGACCTCATTTGGAATACTGTGTGCAGTTCTGGGCACCACACCTTAAAAAGGATATTATAGCTTTGGAAAAAGTGCAGAAAAGGGCAACTCGAATGATAAAAGGGTTGGAACACTTTCCCTATGAGGAAAGGTTAGGACGTCCTTCTTCACCCAAAGAGTGATTAACACTTGGAATTCACTGCCACAGGAAGTGGTGGGTGCTACAAGCATGGATGGCTTCAAAAGGGAATTAGATAAGCATATGGAGCAGAGGTCCATCAGTGGCTATTAGCCACAAGGTATAGCTAGGGGCTCTGGGGCAAGTGATGCTCTGTCTTCTTGGTGCTTGGGGGGGTCAACAGTGGGAGGGCTTCTAATGTCCTGGCCCCACTTGTGGACCTCCTGATGGCACTGGTATTTCTGGCCACTGTGTGACACAGAGTGTTGGACTGGATGGGCCTTTGGCCTGATCCAACATTGGCGTCTCTTATGTTCTTATGTTCTTAAGGGCTGCCTCAGTGCTTACTTCTTGTGGCCCTTTTTTACATGCCCATGGAAATGCTGATTGCCACTTTGGGGTCAGGAAGCAATCCTGGAGGGGTTTTTTTGTCGTCTTCTGGGCATGGAACAGCGGTCACTGTGTGTGTGGAGGGGGAGGTATTTGTGAATTTCCTGTATTATGCAGGGGGTTGGACTAGATGACCCTGGAGGTCCCTTCCAACTCTATGTTTCTATGATCCATTCATTCTATAAAAGCCACCCTGAGCCTGCCTTGGTGGGGAGGGTGGGGTATAAATTGGAAAAATAAATAAATAAAACAACCTTCTAAGTTTACCTGGTGGTGAAAATGGAGTCAGGTTGTTGTGTTCATTTCCCTCTTCTTGGTTATCAACATGTATGGCCCCATTTTCAATATTTTCATGTTTCCCATTCTGGAGCACTTTGCCATTGGTGGAGTGGATCAGTCGCTGGCGCTAGAAGATACGTAAACCAACGAACATCGCAGTCATTTTAGGAAAGTTTTCCAGTCTTTTTGAAACTTCATAGCAGAACATCACCTGGTAAATAAAACAAATTTGCACTTACCTGTAACTGTTGTTCATCGAGTGTCTTCTGTGCAGGCACACATGGGGACTGCACTTGCACAGGCCTGCCATCGGATAGGTCTTTACAGCCAAAAGCCTCCAGGGGGCACTGCATGCTGGAGCCAGAAACTTGTTCCTACCCAGGGACCACATGCTCCGGTGCAGCAGCATCCCCCTACCCTCAGTACCTCTAGCACCACCGAAGCCAGAGCATGTAGCAGGGTAGGAGGGAGCATATGTGTGCCCGCACAGAAGACACTCAAACAACAGTTACAGGTTAAGTGCAACTTTGTTTTCATTATCAATCTTCTGTGCAGCCTCACATGAAGATTCTAGCAAGCTACTCACCAGGCAGTGGGGCATGCTCTTCTCACCTGAACAGCAAATGAAGAACTGCCTTGCCCACTTCAGCCTCACATCTTGCCTGCAGATCCAAAGCATAATGACGTACAAACATGTCTGCTGATGACCAGGTGGCAGCTCTGCAGATCTCCGTCAAAGACACTCCATCCAGGAGAGCTGTGGAAGAAGCCACTGCCCTAGTGGAAGGGGCATGAATGTTCAATGGGCATGGCAATCTGGCCCTGTTATAACACTCCCTAATGGTACTGACAGTCCATCAGGACAGGGTCTGAGATGATGCTCTCCTACCTCCACTAAAACAAACAGGGCTGTATCCCTGAGAAACTCCAGGGTTCTCTTGAGGCAAAATAATAATGCCCTCCTAACATCTAAAGAATGCAATGAGTGCTCATTCTCAGAGCTTGGTGCAGGAAAAAATACAGGCAAAACAATATCTTGGGATAAATGGAACCTAGAAACTACCTTAGGAGGAAACCTAAGATGAGGACGAAGGATCACCCTTTCAGGAAAGAACTTCAAAAATGGGGGATCTACCTGAAGAGCTGCTAGCTCACTCACCCTCTTGGCTAGAGATAATAGCTACTAAGAAACATACCTTCACAGAAAGCTCTGCCAAAGAACTGGTAGCAAGAGGTTCAAAAGGCTTGAACATTAACTGTGCTAGCATAACAGACAGAGACCACTGGGGCAGGCAGAGATTACCTAACCCCTTAAGAAACCTCTTAGACAAAAGATGGGAGAACACTGATCCTCCCACAATTCCTCTGTGACAGCAAGAGACAGCAGCCAGGCGAACCTTCAAAGAAGAAAATGCCAGGCCCTTAGTTTTCAGGTGTAATAAATATAACCTGCAGAAGGGCACCCCCTGGTAACATGTCCTTCTCACTATACCAGAGGGAAAATTGCCTCCCCTTACACTTATAGGATTACCTACTGTTAGGCTTAGAAAAAATTAGGTCTCTGTCTGAAGCCTCCAAGCCATCAGGTTGAGGCAGTTCAGATCATGATGAAGTACCTGGCTGATACTGATTAAAGCTAGTCAATTTGGTAGGGGAAGGAACTAGTCCCGGGAGATCTCCACATGGTAACCCTGTTGCCTATGGTAACAGTGTTGTGGGTAAATGGCTTGGGAATAGGATACTGAGACCCCGAGGGACCAGAAAAGTGGTAATCCATTTGATACGGATGCCAGGGCTGTCTTACAAAGGATCTCTGCTTAAATTGGGACATGGATAATTGTGAGACTCCTAGGGACTTAGCTGTCTGCTTGTTCTTCATCAGGGAAAGCATCTCATCTGACTTGGATGAGAAGAGAGTGGACTGAAACCTTTGAAAGGTCAGTCTTCAACTTTAAGCCTGGTTTCCATAGGCAAGGCCATTGATCTTAACCATGTGTGGCACCTGAGTATGATGGTGTTCACCACGGCACGTGCAGCCAAATCCACAGAATGTCATCCTGTATTAATTTGCTGCTTCAAAAGTTTAATGGCCTCCATGTACAGAACTTTAGCAAGGAGACACTTATCTTCCAGCAGGAGTTCAAGGAATGGAATAATCCTCTCCCACAAGAAGAGCTGATAACCTGCCATGGTGGTTTCATAGTTAGCAATTTTGAAACCTAATGCTGCTGATGAATATAATTTTCAACCCAGAACATCCAGTTTTCTCCCTTCCCTATCTGTGGGAGTGGTGTGGTAGGCCTAACAGCACTTTGGTTGCATCTCCTCCATAACCAAGGAGGATGGCAGAGGATGGGTTGTCAAATAGTTAAATGGCTCTTTCTTGATCGTATAAAAATGTTCTACCCTTCTGGAGATAGGCTGGAGATACACAGGTTTTTTGCCACAGTTCCTGTGTGAGGTCCCTAAGGCCCTCCAACACTGGGAAAGCAATAATCCCAGGAGACTCTAAACAGAGGCGACTCAGTATCTTATCTTTGAGCTTGCGCTGTGGTAATGACTTCTGTCTCAAGAGACTGGGCCATATGGATCATCTGTTCTCCAAACATTTGGAGATTTACATGGGAGATGCCAGAGATGGCTCGCCTACCCTCTCGTCTGGGCCCGGATCTGATGTTGTGTTGGATCCGTCAGATTCAATCACTGTTTCTTCCCTCACTGTAGCAGGAGACTCCAAAACTTCCAAATACCTTTTATTGGCATAGAATATTAAAAGCATTTCCCAATAATACAATCCAAGAGAAATTATAAAATAGATAGTCGTGGGTATGTCAGGCCTAACTCAAGTTGTCACAAGTTAGATTTGACCATACAAAAGATGCCTGAATCATAAAATAAACTGGCATTCCAAACTTTTAAACTTAAGTTTTTAAACTTATAAATTAAGAATCATTAATATGATCAGGGTTACTCTTCCGTTTTATAAAACAATGGAGAAACTTAGCGGTCAGTTCAATGATCTCCAGATCTCGTGAAGCAAGGAGAAATTGTACCTTGATTCTATCCGATTGGCCGTAGCAGGAGACTCCAAAACTACAACCTTCTCCTTCAACGGCAAAGAGGAACTGAGAGTAGGGCTTGTGCTGCTGCACAGGATCACGTGGTCCCTGAGTGGGAACAAGCTTCTGGCTCTGAGGCACAGCCCCCCCCCCAATCTTTTAGCTGTAAGGAATTATCTGATGGCCGGCCTGCTCATGCTCAGTCCCCATGTGGGACTGCACAGAAGATCAATGATGAACATCCCATTACACTTCTGTTAAAGCAACAAGACATTTTTCTCCAGGCCTGTTGGCTACCCTAGTACTGAAAGGAAAGCATGAAACAAACCATCTCCCCCACATTCTCTTTGGGAAACAGGACACTAATTGCCTATGCTAAAAAAGAAAAGCCATTTTAACATCTGAACTCCCTGTCCGTGTCTTCTGACATGACTCCAGTTCTGTTTGCAAGGGTTTCATGCCAGGGCCCCTAATATGCTTATGATAACATGTGAAGAACTCTTGGCGGCTTTCTTAAGCATCCCCCCTCCCCCCAAAAGGCCAAGCATTCCTTCCGTTAATCCTCAGCTCTACCATACTTCACCTTTTCTGTTCTTGCTGTTAAACATCGGCCTGCAAGTTCCTTCAGGCAACAGCCCGTTTGGTTTTGATTTTTTTTCTTGATGATGTTATACAGCACCAGATACATTTGTGGCACAGTGTAAAACAGTAAATAATAATAATAATAATAATAATAATACTAATAATAATAATAGAAACAGTGCAAAAATAAAAAAGCCCCGGAATAAGTTGTTCGGCTACCTCTCTTGCAGGCTCACCTCATTAATAATCAGCCGACTCGCCATCCGTAGCCTGGTCCTTGGTCCAAATTTATTCGTTATCATTACTCGCAAGCCAGCTTCAGGAAAACGGAATTTCGGAGGACTGGAACAAATTATCTCATCGACCATCACCACGGAGTTTTGGCCATATGGTTGCGTTCCCTTTACTATTGACCACAATGCCAATGGTTAGCTATAAAGTGTGTTTCTTTCTCAATGACTCTCTTTGCCCATATTTACCCTGGAATGGCTCCTACCATTAGCTTAAGAGTAATCTTACATTGTAAATAACATTACCAGATTTCTATCTATAACTGGATTCCATGCAAATTAAACTGGCTATCAATAGAAATCTACTGGTTTTAGATTTTTATGACTTCTGATTACATTTTAGATTGGACAATTGCATCAAGTTGCAGTTGTATTGAAACAGATTCCTCCTAGTTTTTCACTCTAGTCAATCATTCTCCTTGGTTTGCATCATATTTAGGTTAGCCTTATCATTTCCTTACTGTATACCTCTAATATATTTTAGGCAAATTAATCATATTTAATAGTGGGGTTGAATCCTCTGAATCACTAGCACAAGGAATTTGCTGAGGTACACCTTTCCTGATGTCTTTCAAGATACCTCTGTAAATCCCTCCTCCCCCAATCTGATGCTGAGGGTCACAAGAGTTTCATGTTAAAAAAAACCCCACACATGGCAAGTATGGGAAGAGGAAGTGGGTGCAATCAATCTTCCCCTTTGTGCTAGCATACAGCACAAAAGAGAGAGGATAATTTCTGCCAATTCCTCCTCTTCACTGCGGCCCACTGTGCTGCATGACTTTTTGTCCTTTAGGCACTTTTCAGGCCCATAGCCAGGAATTTTTTGGCAGGGGGGCACTGGAGGGGGCTTCTGACATCACAACATTCTCTCCAATAAAGGTTAGTCGGCTGTGCTCAATTGCTTCTCCAACCTTCCTCACTCTCCACCACCCCCGCTCCTGCCCCACGCTTCTCTACCCCTGCCCAAAAGGCCAGGCAGAGACCAGGAAGCTCCATCAGGAGTGCTGGCAGGGTAGTGAGCGAGCCGAGTGGGTGGGGAAGGAGCGGGTGGATCAGGCAGGGAGGCTGCTCTGCAGTGCTGGGTCACATGATTGTGCCACTTGACTCCTCGGCGCAGGTGTACTGCAGAGATGCCTGCCTGATCCTTGCCTGCCCATTCAGCTCACTCACTGCCCTGCCAGCACTCCTGATGGAGCTTCCTGTCTCTTCCTGGCCTTTTGGGCAGAAGTGGAGAGGTGTGGGGTAGGGGCAGAGGTGGTGGAGAGCAACAAAGGTTGGAGAGAGAGGCAATCGAGTGTGGCCAGCTGCTGGCACTCCTGGACGAGCTGTGGTGGAGAGTGAGGAAGGTTGGAGAGCAAGGCAATCGAGTGTGGCTGACTGCCGATGCTCCCAAACAAGCTGGCCTTTTGGGTGGTGGGGCATGACTCAAAGTTAAGGGGGCGTGCTCCCCAAATGCCCCACCGTAGGAGTCACAGAGGAAATTTGGGAGGGGGGAGGCTTATGTCTATAAATACTAATAATGAGCCAAAAACTTATCCCAGGAAAGCTCCTTAACAATTAGTGATGTTCAACAAAAACACTAGCAAGGGTGTAGTTCTCTCATTATTCTAGCCCCTTAAACTTCCGTACAATTTCAGAAGAATGCTATCACATGCTTTATTATTAAATTCCAGGTTACTGCGCAGCTCAGTGAAAACAGGTTTGGTGAAAACTTATATAAATGGGAGTATTTTCCTGTTCTAAGTTCTGTTATTAAACCAAGAGAGACAAAACATGCAGCCCTAATAATTAATAAAAGGAAAACACAATAAACACATGCAAGTATTTTTTTAAAAAACAAATGCTACCTTCTATGTAGCATGTAGTAAGGCTTAGCAGACAGGAGACGTTTGTTGTTAGAATACACACTGCAACGAAGTAAATATTAACTCCAGAGAAAAAGAAGGATGAATGGTGGGAGATAGATGGGGGAATAAGGGGCAATACCATTCTTTATTGCCTCAGTTATTAGAATGGATATATATGTATATATTTAGGACAGATTACATACATTAAAGAGGAACAGAAACCCTTAGTAGGGTGGAAGAAGAAGAAAAATAATTAGTGCAACATTTCAGTCTGAAATAGTTTGAAATCTGGGGAAACATTTAGCTTAATCAGAGGAGATCCCCCTCATACATGATGACAACATGCCTGTTATTTTAAACAGATAGAAGAAACAGAACAGGAAGAGGTTAAAAACAATATTTTGTTACAAACTGGATCATGGACGGCAGCTTTGTCAACGGCAACATCTTCCAAGGCTGAGTTCGGATGACAGGTGCCGGTCTCCGCTAGTTGTACAATTCAGTGCTATACGGGACATGCAAGAAGCAATACCAGAAGGAAAAAAAGGCAATGCAAAGTTGTGCTGTGTTTTGCACAATCATCTACCTGGTCTACACATGTAGAAGAATAACATGGCTGCCTCCAACCTCAGACTATAGGTAGGGGTGTGTTCTTCTATTTAAACTTCTCTGATGATAGAAAACTAGCCTAACTGGGAGTGGACTAGGCTAGAACCTTCTTTCCTGGTGTGTTCATTTTCTACTTGCAAGGAGGGGTTTGTTTGTTTTTAACATGGAGGGATTTTTTTAAACATAGAGAACATTCAAAAGTGGCACCCTCACCTTCACCCGCATAGTCCATTCCAGGGCTATTTTTGGGCAGGAACGCACAGGAACGGAGTTCCGGCTGGCTCCCAAGTTGGCCACACCCAGCAGGAACTCATTAGCATAATAGGCCACACCCAACAGCAGAAACTCATTAGGATTGGCTACATTAGGGGTGTGTGGCCTAACATGCAAAGGAGTTCCTGCTACAAAAAAGCCCTGGGTTTTGACAACAAACAAGTTAACAGAATAAGAAGCAAAAGGTGGGTGTGGCTCGATAACCACACTTCTGGTAACATGGGAGTGTGGCCTAATGTGCTAATGAGCTGTGCTGTCAGGGGTGTGGTCTAATATGCTAATTAGTTTCTGCTGTTGGGTGTGGCCTATTATGCTAATGAGTTCCTGCTGGGCTTTTTCTACAAAAAGAGCCCTGGTCCATTCTATGATGCCAAGAATCTGTTATCTCATTCTGACACATTTAGACACATGACTGTCCTTGGCCAGTCCCTCACCTGAACTGTATTGATCCACACACTTGCTGTATGCCATGCGTTCCAGGATATCTTGAGGATCAGTGTTATCAGTGTGGCTTGCTACATGCAATTATTAATTTCTGCCATCTGAAAAATTATTCATTTAGAAGCAGCCTAATATATCTGAAGGTATCCGAAGAAGTGAGCAGTGACTCATGAAAGCTCATACCCTGCCATATATTTTGTTAGTCTTAAAGGGGCTACTGGACTCTTGTTCTTTTCTACTGCTACAGACAGACTAACACAGCCACACATCTTGATCTATCAGCCTAATACATGTTTGAGAATAGATTTCAGGAGATCTCTGGCTGCAACTGAACTCTGACAGTCCTCTAATCCTTAAAATGCCAGCAGGTATTTTGAATACTTCCCTCTCCTCTTGAAGGAATAAAATAAAATGCATGAGTTCACTAGCTAGATTTTCCCCTCCCCATCTTCAGAGGACATTGACTGCACCAGACAGTGCCTGTCCTCCACTTGGCAAAACACATTATGTATGATACTGGCGATGCTCCAGTAAATTAGGGTTATGATGCCATAAGCTATGACGGTGATGCCACCAGTTCAAGTATCAGCTCCGTCACAAAATCACTTGAATGGCCTTAAGTGTGTCACACACTCTCAGCCACCAGTAACAGAAGCAATAACAGTAGTCTCTGGTCTTAGAAGGCTGTTGAGGGCATGGCTGAAACGATCTGTGTGAAACCACTTTGGCAAAAACTCTGCTGAAATACTAAATGACTTTAATGATGATGATTAACCGGGCCTTAACATGGGGCTTCAGCAGGTGTAGAAGGCAGATAAACTTCTTTCCAGTGAATTACATCTGAGAAATCTCTAAAGTGCAGCATGTCAGTGAAAACAACAGAGAAGCATCAAGGCAGATGCTGTGGAACTTATTCCGGGAGCCCTAATGAGAGTGAGGAATGGGAACGGAAGAGCCTGGGAGGATGTACAAAGGTGGAAAAAGCATCTTAACAGCTGTATAAAAGGTCTTGGGTTAGAGACAATACAATCTAACTGCAGGCTTGCTGCAAAGTACAGCTCATTACCACTCTGTTTTTAGCAAGCTGCCTTCTTTCATTGCGCTGCTTCAATCGCTTTCCTTGAGCCTTGAGGGTTATCTGTCTGGGGTGAGGGTAACCTGGTGCTGAAGGTACAAATAAACAGGATCAGAATTAAATGGGAACGTGGGCAGGGCTGGGAACAGGCTGTGAAGACGGGAAGAGAGAGAGCTTGGGAAGGGAATATGGCACAGTGGTAGGGCACCTGCTTTGAATACAGAAGGTCCTAAATTCGACCCTTGCTATCTCCAGTTGAAAGATAAATAAATAAAATAGCTTCACATGGTGAACATGCAGTCAAGCTGGGAAGTGTGATGACTTGGAAAGCATCTGGAGAGCTTTACAAACAGTGCCAGAAATTGTCTGGTGCCCATGACACAAAATCCAGGGCTGATGTGACTGCAGAATCATTTTCAGCTAATCCGGGTCAGAGGAACCAATGTCTTGCCTGAGTAATTTGGGCTCTGGTGCAACCTGGAAGGACAAGCAAACTATCCCAGGCTTCTCTCCCCAGCCTCAAGTAGTCTGCCCCAGGGCAGTGGAACACAAATCAGGAGGCCCTAATTATAGCCCTAGTCCTTCTTGACATTATCTCCCCAAATCCAGTCTTACAGACTTCCTGAAGGAGTTTGAAAAAGGAAAAAAAAGTGAGCAGTCTCTTCTGTCTGCTTCCTATTCAAAGTTTTTATGCAGGCTTTTCAAAAAATGCAAGGAAGGTCCAACGCACCAATGACAAGAAGAAGGAGAAGAGAAGAGATTGGATTTATACCCTGCCCTTCACTTGGGAGTCTCAGAGCAGCTTACAAACTCCTTTCTCTTCCCCTCCCCACAACAGACACCCTGTGAGGTAGGTGGGGCTGAGAGAGCTCTTTCGAGAACTGCCCTTGAGAGAACAGCTCTGACAGAACTAAGGCTTGCCCAAGGTCATCCAGCAGGTGCAAGTGGAGGAGTGGGGAATCAAACCCGGTTCTCCCAGATTAGAGTCTTCGCACTTAACCACTACATCAAACTGACACCAAACTGGCTCTCAACTACCTTAATATAAGTGCTAGAGAAATGCACTTGGAATACATGTGTTACAGGCAGGTGTCAGGTACTCTCTGATACAGGATACCCTGGACTGTGTTGCTTTGAAATCTCATGATATAAAGTAGGCTAGAAATCTGGCAAAATTTAATCAGTTTTAAGAGATAGAACAAGTTAGGCGTGTCCTGCAAAGTATGCAAAAGTTCAGATCTCAGAACCAATGAGGAAAATGTCTAATAGGTTTCAGTTGGGATTTAGAGCTCCTATACCTTCCGTATTTGTGCAGCAGAAGGAATTTCAGCAGGTGAACTTTTCTCCTCAGTCAGCACGATGTAGTGGTTAGACTGTCAGACTAGAATCTGGTAAACCCAAATTCGAATCTCTGCCCTACCTGGGGCCACTCATACCCTCTCACCCTAATTTGCTTCACAGGATTGCTGTGAGAATAAAATGGAGGCGAGGATAATGTTGTAAGCTGCTTTGGGTCCCCCACTGGGGAGAAACTAAAATTCCCTCATTGCATAGCGGCTAAAGATACAGGGACCCCACTTCCTTTTCTTCTGGTCGCCCTGGCTTCTTTGTGGTATGCAGCATCTGATGAACCAGGCTCCAGTCCATTAAAGCTTATGCCACAATATAGGTACTAGGACTTTAGGTTCTTCATTGTTTCTGCTGCAACAGACTAACACGATTACTCCTCTGGAATTTGGAGAAACCATTAGAGCAATAAGCTTCTACTCTACCTGAGAGCCAGTTTGGTGTAGTGGTTAAGTGTGCGGACTCTAATCTGGGAGAACCGGGTTTGATTCCCCACTCCTCCACTTGCACCTGCTGATGTGACCTTGGGTCAGTCACAAGCTCTGGCACAGCTGTCCTTGAAAAAGGGCTGTTTGTGTCAGAGTTCTCTCAGCCCCACTCACCTCACAGGTTGTGGGGAGGGGAAGGGAAAGGAGTTTGTAAGCTGCTCTGAGACACCTTCAGGTTGTGAAGGGCAGGGTATAAATCCAATCTCTTCTTCTTCTCTTCTTCTTCTTCTACCTAGGCTCGTCACATTATTTATGGGACTTCTGATGGCCACACAGTTATTAAAGCCAAAAGGCATGTGGGATCAGCACAATAGAAGTCAGAGGTGCCCAGACAAGGTAATGTTACTGTCAAAACATGAACATTAGCTGCAGAAGTACAAATCTTCACTTTAGCTTGTAAGACTTGTTTTTGAAATTGGATTTTCCTCCGTGTGAAAAGCTGTGTGTGTGTGTGTGTATATATATATAAAAACCCAGTAACAAAAGCTTTTATTTTTGCCAGTTGAAGCTCTTGAAAGCAATAAAAGTTACAAGCTTCAAAGGGAACTTGGCAGTCTGTGAACCTCCCTTTTATCTGCACCCATGGTAATAGCATTCTTGCTGTGGTGCGGTAGAATGCAACAGGGACAGCGCAGGTGTTCTGCCTCGGAAAATAATCGGGCTTGGCAGTCATACACCAGAGTGGATTAAAGGTGAGGTCTACGCCTCACTGACCTGAGCAAGGTGTTAACTGAGAAGCCAGGTATTTTTTGGCCTCAACTTTAGAGGCAGGCTGAAAGCAGACCTGAGAAAAGTGAAATCCTGCTCCAAGAATCTGTGAACAGACCAACCAGAACAACCAAAAGAGGGAGCATAATCTGGCTATCAAAGAAAAAATAAAGAATAAATCTCCAAAATAAAATAAAAAGAATAAATTCACCCTCCTGCTTTAAAAGTGAGATTATATATACGTTTCAGATGAAAACTGGCAGTATTAGAGAATTAGACACACACAGAGAGACATATAGATTCTTCCATGCAGAGTTAGTAAAAAGAAGACTATTCTTTCCCTGTTCTTATTGGGGAACTTCAGGGCCCTCCAAGATACAGTTTGGAAAAACAATATCTTAGAAATATATGACAATATATGACAATTAAGAGCATGTGGTTGCATGGATGATCCAAATGGCCACAGGGGTGTGACAATCAATGGGAAAAAATACCATGCCTACTACTGACTTTATCCAACATGTACAAAATCCAAGATTCCAAGCAAAACAGAGAAGATCGAATGGAAACACTGAAGTACATCATTGCAAGTGTGATCTTCCCCAAATGAGAAAAAAGTAAACAATTTGTGTTACAGGCACAGACACTGTTGTTATTAACATGCTAATGCAGTTTAATAATGCCCCAAAGGCTCGGTTGTATTGAATTTGTCTGGAAGTAGCTAAACAATTGGGGGAAAATACAATTATGCTGGTTACCAGTGCTTGAGCCACCATTACAGTAATGATATTTCAGGTCAACTTTTGGTCCAGCTCCTGTCTGCTTAGCCTTACCTTTCCACAGCAATGGCACTGATGGGTCATCACAGCTAATGTCATAAGATTCATCATTACCATCTTCCAGTTCACTGGTGACAGTATTGCCATTCCCAACATTCATGCTTTTGATCGTGAAGAACTTCTGCATTTTCACATTGTACCTAGAGGCATAAAAGAGAAAAAATGCAAGTTGCTTAAAGCATAAAGTTAGGCATTTACTTTGAGTTATCTTTCATGTGTGTGTGTGTGTGTGTGTAAATTCTCATTGCACTGATCCTCACAACATACCTCAATTAAATTGGCTAGACCGAGAGACAATGATTGGCCAAACACCACTGAAAGATTATCACGGTTCAACCATTATGGTCATGACGAAGTCAAAGCGAAACACTTTTATATCCATTTGATTTCAACGGGAGAGTTAAGGGTGTGCTCTCTCCTATTAAATGCAATGGAAAATTGTACTTATTCTGTTGTGCTTTGTGGTTTTTAAGTGTACATGTAAAAACTTGTGGTTAGCTGGGTCCAGACAACTTTTCCACAATCATACAATCACGGAATAACCAGTGGATACTATCTTCCAATGGAGAAACACCCAAGAACCTTATTCATTCAGAAATGAATCATGAAACCCAGATAAACCATGACACTCCCAGCTAAAGACCAGTGCTATTCTGAATAGCTTGCTACTTCCAATGGGCCATGTGCACAAGTACAACCACCTGTATATCAAGGTTTCACAACAATGCAACAAAGTTGTGTCCTTTTTATTTTATTTCTTCTAGTAGGATGGCTATTTTAGATTCTTAAGGTTTTAGAAATTTGTTAATAAGTGTACAATTGTATAACCTAAAAGAGTGCCACAAAACCTGCCAATCAGAACCAGTCAGAAGACCAAGGTTAGTCCATGAGGCTAACGAGAATCTCACATTAACACATCAAATTCTGCAGGCTATAAACAAAATGCTGGAACAAATGTTTCAACTGCAGGTTATTCTGCATATCTCAAAAAACAACACCCCCCCAACTTTTTGCATTCCATAACTAGTTTTTTGGGGGGGATTTGTTAATTTGAATAAATGTCAGTTGAGGATGGGGGGGGGGAGAGAGACAGAGAGTTTATCCTGTACTGTAAATTCACCAAACAATAAAGCCTTTCGTTTCTGCAAATGCAGCTAATTAGTAGTTATTATAAAAGCCATATCTGAGCTTTTTAAAGCCACTTGTGTGAATCTGCAGATTTCATGTGTGCTTAATTTTGCATTAGAGAGCTTTTTATACAATTTCAATTAACACTCTAGGCACTTATATAATTAATATGATAATAAATTGTTACATGATTAACTATATTAATTATAATGGTGTAATGGTTATAGCGTTAGGCTAGGATCTGGGACATCTGGATTCAGATCTCCTTTCAGCCATGATGTGTACTGCCTGTCACTCTTTCTCAGTCCAACCTGCCTTACAGGATTCTTGCTCTTAGAATAAAATGGAGGAAGGGAGAATGAGGTAGGGGTCCCAGTGGGGAGAAAAGTCGAGTAAAAACCTTGAAATAAATAAAACAGACTTTGAGGATTCTGACAGAGTGTAGTGTTTCTTTGGGGCCTTTCCAGGATGAAAGGTACAATAAACCACTAGAGGTGACTGGAAAAGTCGTTAAATTGGAAGAGGAAGAAACAAGACTGAGAGAATATGGAGGTTCCTTCCTCCCTCTGTGCAGGAGGTAAGAGCTGACTTGGGGCTGATATCATGGCTGCCACTTTATATTGTTCCATGTGGTAGCTGTAACCATGCAGCAACCCTTCTTAGCCAACAGGGCAGATTTTCTTGAGCAAACATCTCAAATTGACATTTCGCAGTACGTTGGTAAAAGCTGCCCAACCCACATAGTAAGCCACTATATAGCATGCAACATATTCACTTAATTTTCTTCCACTGATTTGTTGCTTTAGTAACTTGTCAGAAACAAAAACCTCATCTTAATTCTCATCCTTACTCTGCCCATTAACTTTTGGCTTAAACCCTATTTGTTGTCTACGTTATCTAGATTGTTGAGCCAGGGATCACAGTGCCCCGTCTCCCGATAGACAACCAACAAAATTATATATTTTACATTGTCAAGCCATAAAATCTGCACAAATTTCCTAAATACAGGAAGGAAGCAGGTTGGTGAATTGTGGAATTCACTGCCACGGGATATAGTGATGGCTACCAATTAAGTTTGCTTTAAACAAGTCATGGAAGATAAGGACAGTAACAGGCTGAATACCAGTGCTGGGATAGGGGAAGCAGATCGCTGCAATACTCCTTTTAATGTATGAGTTTTATTTATGTAGATTTTTTCTAATTGCCTTTTCTAAGTCCTACTACTTTTAACATCATAGTAAGAAGAACAACAGGAAAAAGAAATGTAAGAGAAGGGAACATCCTTTTTCCATATCTGCTCTCTGGTCTTTTTCAGAGGAAAAGATTCTCCGTCCCTCAGAGCAAAAGCTGTGTATTTGCTGGCATTGCATTTGTTGGCATTCCAAAAAGGTTATCCATCAACCAAATGAGTTTCAGGATATTCATCAATTAAACCTGTAATGTTTACATATGAAAAACACTTCTGAATGAAAAAGCATATTTTCTTAGTGTTGAAAGATTATTCTTGCTTCAGTCTTGGACAGGAGAGAATGCCTCTTTTACAGTAGCTGTTTGCCATCCACTGTTTTTATAAGTAATTGTATCAAGAAGAATTTAACTTTCTAAAACAAAACAAAAAAAGCTGCCCAAATAATCAGGCTTTCTAGTCTATCAACGGTAAGAAAGAAATCTGATAAAGGGTCAATATTAAAAACATAGGTGAAACTTATAATATACAAAAATACATGTATTTATTAAAAAGACCGTTAAAAACAATATAAGGGAGCAATGAAAGCCTTGTTAAAAAGTTCAAGTGGCCTAAACATAAGGGCCAATACACATGTACGCGGTAGGCTGGAGCCTGACTTGGACAGAGGCCGCTCCGAGCATGCGCGGAAGCGCGACGTGGTTCAGGCCGGGAGAGTTACGACTGCCGGAAGGATGGAATTACAAAGACCAGCGTCGAAGAAGGGCCGCCGGCGGGACTGTCCCCTCGCAAGGAAGATCGGCTACAGAAGAAGGGTGCCTAGTAGGCTTCTCACCTCCCTACATACATGTGGCCCTAGAGTAGGATTGTGTTAAAATTAGAATTGTAAGCCGCTCAGAGCCCCTTGGGGGGGGGGGGGGAGCGGGATAGGAAGTCGAATGAAATAAATAAATAAATAAAATGTGGGCCCTCATATGTTTTTAACTATCTTCCTAATAAATACATTATAAGTTTCAACTAGGTTTTTAATATTGGCCTTTTATCAGATTTCTTTCTTACCCTTGTGGTTCTTGATTCCAGTTTTTGGGTCACGTTTGCTTTCCCCTCCCTGTGTCTTACTTTCTAGTCTATCAAAACGTTTTAAATTGACTTAACGTTGAAGCCTCAATTTCCAAAGACAGTATTTTCCATTAGCCCAACTTTCCTAAGCAGTACTGCAGATTCCACAGATACTGAAAGGCGCAAATGTCTATCTATTGGCTATTGTATATGTCCAGAGAGGAAAATGAACAATACTGATAAAACAGGAATGCAAAATTTTCTGAGTTATGTGCTGTCATAGCAATACTGAAGGAAGGATAGTCAAACATAATTAAAGAACAGAAGGATAAGGGGAAAAAGCACTTACTTCATGATAAGTATATAGAACAAGTACATAATGATGAGGACAAGACTTTCCCACCTCAAAGGAAGAAAAGGAGTGAAATTAGTCATGTACTGAGCATATTTAGAGATGCTTTTAACAAAGCCCAAACCTATATTTTTCTGCTGAAAATTATCACTGGCACTACCATGAGCAGTATTTGCTACCTTTTCTACAATCAAGATAGGGAGGAAAAAAATGGACAATTATTTTGTAAAAAGTCGACATTTTGCTTTTTCAATATCATGTTTCTTTCTTTAAAAAAACCCACAGCCTGAATAAAATTAAATCTCTTAAAACTTAGCCGTTTATAAAAATAGAGGCTGCTTTTCTATTTTAATAAAACACAGTAAGATGAAATATCTTCTTGGAAAACAAGCATTATAAATACAGCACACATACTGTTGTTTTGGACTTGATACTGGGGGTTACAATAGGGACTGTTACAAGTTACCATAGGGACTGAAGTCCAGCCCTTGGTTCCAGGAGATGATGGGTGAGACAGCATGTATATCTATATTGCTGTGTTCTTTAACTACCCGGGTTCTGCATTTGGCTCAGTTTTCAACTAAGGAACATTTACTGTCTACAAATAAATAAGCGCATTTCCTTTTCTCCTTATGAAAATTGCCAGCTCCTATTTGCATCCACTATAATTAGCAAGGTTCTCCTTTCAATAAGCAGTGTAAACACATTTTAAATTTATTTCACTATAAACATGTTTTAGTGGGTAACTAATCCGTGGCTCAAGTGGTTAAGATGCTGAACTGCAGGCTGTGGAAGGTCGGTAGTTCAGCAGTTCGAGACCCAAGTTGCCGCATGACGGAGTGAGCTCCCGTCTCTAGTTCCAGCTCCTGCCAACCTAGCAGTTCGAAAGCAAGAAATTGCAAGTAGATAAATAGGTACCATTTCAGTGGGAAGGTAACAGTGTTCCGTGCGCCTTGGTGTTTAGTCATGCCAGCCACATGACCACGGAAACATCTTCGGACAGCGCTGGCGCTTCGGCTTTGAAATGGAGATGAGCACCGCAACCCTGGAGTCGGATTCGACTGGCTTTCAAGCAAAGGAACCTTTACCTTTAATCCGTTAGTAGGTGTAGTTGTTTAGAAAAACATATTAAGTATGAAGGGAAAAGTCTGTCTTTAAATTATTCCTTTAAAACTGGCCTTTTGTCTTGCAGATCTAAATTGTGATTCAAAAATCTATGGCATAATGTCTTCATGCAGTTCTCCTATTTTTAATACAAATGGCATTATGCTGGCAAAGGTCTTCTCTTTTCTGCTTGTGCACTTCTTTTCAATCCCTCCTTCCTGCTGTTAGACCTATTTTGTCGTCTGTCCAATACTGCTTCCTGTAGTGTCTGAAGAATTGTGCTTTGTACACAAAAGCTTACACTTTGAATAAAACTTTGTTGGCCTTAAAGGTGCCACTGGACTCAAACTTTGTTCTGCTTCCTGTAAAGGTAGTGCCTAGGCCTGGAACACATTGCCATCTCTCTTTGATAGGCCATTTCTTCTCTGCCCAGGCCCTCCTCAATGCCCATTTCTTTCACTAACCTTAACCCAAACCCCTTTCCCCTTTCCCTCCAGTGCCACTTGGCCTTCCCCTATACCACACCTACTGTTCATCACTACTTGCTTCTTTTTCCACTTGCTTCTTTTTTCCTGAGTCAGTGTCACAAACACAGATCGCCAAATTCAGAGCTCTCTCGTTACATTTGGAACAAAGTCCTTACAGCCCAACCCTACATATGCTTACTCAGAAGTAAGTCCCCTTCTCCATGCTCAACAGGGTCAACAAGAAAGCATGCATAACCTTGCAGACTGAATCAAAGCTGAATTCTAATAATTAGGTTATGTGTGTGTGGGGGGGAAATAACAAGCAGAGCTTACCATACAATTTTCTCATCATATACAAACTAAAAGGGAGGAGAGAGAGAGAGAGAAAAAAAGAAATGATATTTCTCAATGCCAATTGAAGAACTTCAGTTACATTACACATCAGTTACATTACACATCATAAACACTCAAACCCAGAACTTGAAGTTAGTGTCCCAGAACCTGAAGTTCGTGCTCTAGGACTTTGCTCTATGTACTGGCTGAGAAGCCAGCTTTTAGGGAGAGCTGCTGGCTCAGTTCCCGTTGTACCACAGCACTCTTTTAACGATGGCCTGCAGGGGAAGAAGCACATCCTGCCTGGGGGGTTCCAATGACAGCTGACTGAAGAGTCCAGTAAGACCTACATATGTATGTGCTGTCATGTCACAGCCAGGCTTCCCAAGTGCTTACCGTGATTCGGCGGGGGACACAGACATCTTTGCAGGATCATTCCTGCGGGGACAACAGACGCCCCGCACCACACCATCGCCAGGAAGTGACGCTGGGTGACGCTCTGGCAATGGGGCTCAAAACTCGATGGTACCATCGAGTTTTCAGCCCCATTGCCAGAGTGTCGCCCAGCGTCACTTCCTGGCGACGGCATGCTGTGTTACAGGGAGGAATAGTCCAGCCAGGGAGCATGTTTCCCCCGCCGGATTGCGGTAAGTACTTGGGAACCCAAGTCACAGCCAACTTATGGCAACCCCAACAAGAAGCTTTCAAGGCAAGTGAGAAGCAGAGATAGCTTGCCATTGCCCTCCTCTGCAGAGCCTTCCTTGGTGGTCTCCCATCCAAGTACCAACCCTACTTAGCTTCTGAGATTTGAGAAGATCAGGCTACCATGCTGCCTTTCCTCCTAATTAAGACCTAGCCTGAGACTATAAAGCTGCTACTTCCAGACTGGTTCCTTCAATATGGGCAACTCGTTGGTAATGTAAAGAATGTAATGCTGTAAGATCCTGAGTATGTTTGACCTTCTCTTTAGCTGGCCTTACTGGCTCTGATTTGTTGCTTGGTCTTGCCCATATGCCTGCTTATCTTAGATCCTGACTTCCAGCCTGACCTCACATTGTTTCTATCATATCGACAGACTGTCATCTGCACCTGATGCTTGATTTGTTGGACTTTTTGGCCTGACTTGAACTTCTCTTCTGTGTCTGAGACACCTCAGTACACACAAGTGTCTGAAAATGAATTATTTGGCACATTTAAGGATTTTCATTTTTAGCCAGGATAACTGCTTGGCACTGAGTCATTGTTTTGGTTGTCTTAGCTGCATGCATTGCCACACTGAAGTTGTGTGTTTATGGCAGAATATATACATGGTATTGGTAGTATGAGGGGTTGCAGTATTAATTTCTTGATGAGCAGGCTTACAAAGTGTCTTTGGTTGAAGATGTTTGGTTGGAGACACTGAGTCGCAAACTACACATTTCTCACAGAAGAATTTAATGAAGCCCTAACATTTGTATTACATGTAAAGCAGTCTTGGGACGCCACAATTATGAGCAGAGGAACAGCAGTGGAAAGGGGGTGGTGGTGTGGCAATTTTTATGCTCAAATCATCCCTACGAACTATGTCACCACTCCCTGGCAGGTTTCCAGATATGTATTTATGGGTGCTTTTCCATTAAAAAGTTAGGGATTAATTACAGGCATTAGCATATAACTTCAATTAAATGTTCTGCTTAGGACTGAGCTGTAAGATAGTATTGCAGCAATGGTACTTCCTGCCCCAGCGCAAAGGTAAAGTATGATGTCAAGTCACAGCCATCCAGTCTGAAGTGTGAACTGTACAGTGTACTTCTTTCAAGATGTAACTGTACCGCACCAAATCCTGGATAGAACATTAACAGTGAAATTTATACCATTCAGAGTCTATTAAAGACAATGGGCTTAGAAGGATGTAATCCTGTTTAGGATAGTATCACAACAAGATACAATTCTATGGATGTTTTTTAACCAGGGATTTTTTTTACATGTATGCACATATATATATATAATTAAATACAGTACTATCCCTTTAGTTGTGCTTTCTTTCCCTTCCATGAATTAAATGACAATAAGATGTTTTGCTATTGCCTCTAATTACATGCATCAAATAATTAATGCAGGTGGCATGGAGAGCAATCAAAGGCATGTCTACCCAGATGTAAGTCACATTTTATTCAATGGTGCCTACTTCCAGGAAAGTGCTCTTAGGGTTGCAGCCATGGTCACATTTATGTAGACAATGCATAGCAATTACTTCAAATTAACCCACATTTTTGGTCAGCATACTGTAAGCTTAGAGGGAAATAACAGCTGATATTTAAATTCATTAGTAGGCAACGTAAAATCTTAAATAAGGGTGACTGTGAACAAACTGGGAAAGCAGTCTCTCTGGTGAGAATTTGCCCAACAGTCAAAAAGCATGCAGAGACTCAAGGTTTACAGGTCCTCCCATGCATGTATCACTTTTCAGCTTTCTTTAAAGAGTTTGCTATTTGGGCATGTGGTTAATCGCAGTGTTACATAGTTCTTTAGGAATATGGTATTATGGAATTCACTTTTCCCATCATGATGAAAGGGCTCTAGTGATTTTTCAGAACTCCTCTTAAGTATAAGCAAACGATCACAAACTAGGTCCTTTCAATTATCTGGGGAAAAGAACATGGCAAACAAGAAACTTACCGCAATAAGTACAATCACAGCCAGTGTGTAGTAAACTGAATCCCTGCACACAGACCACCAGGTTAGACGGACCACCTGAAAAGAAAACACAATTGCTCCATGCAAAAAGGGCTTTAGCAAATATTTAGGTTTACGCTTGTGATTGACTAATATTGCAGAAGCAAAAGGCTGGTTTCACACATGGAAGTTCATAACTTTCATTTCTCATCTCTTGAAAATATGTCACACCAGGGCTTTTTTTCTGGGGGACCGTGCAAGAACGGAGTTCCAAAACCTCTTCGAAAAAATTATTTTAAAAATGTTTAAAAGTTCTTGAGTTTTCAGTATACAGACTGAAAACTTTATTTCCCTGTTGAGAGTTCTGGCACATCTTTTTCCAAAAAAAAAGCCCTGTGTATCACTGAGATGTATACATCCAGTTCCCTCCTTGAAAAATGTTCTCTTTGGACCAAATGAGACAAGATGGGAGTAGATCAGACTGGCAACATTTTCAGAGAGTACTTTTAATCCTTTCATTGTTGTTGTTGTTTTAAATGAGCAACCACATGAGAGAAAGCAAAAAAGAGTAATAACATGGACTTTCCTGGGGGCATTTGCCCATCAGATTGAACATGGCTATTTGTATGGTGCGAAGCAGTCCAGGACTTTAATAGAAAAAGAACTGCTAAAAAGGGCAGCCAGAATTCTTTTAAAAAACACTAGTTTAATTCCAAACCCACAACAGATTAATTAATTCATTAAAATTAATTATCGTATGGCATTGTGTATAGAATAGCCAGGAGATCCAAAGATTGTCTGGCAGCCACAAGTTCTAGCTCTTAGCATTATGCTAGTGGTAAGGTAGACTCGTTTTTAGGGGCTGAGAGAGCTGTGACTGACCCAAGGTCACCCAGCTGGCTTCATGTGGTGGAGAGGGGAATCGAACCCAATTGTCTAGATTAGAGTCTGCCGCTCTTAACCACTACACCAAAATCTCTCCCCCCACAACAGATAAAATATATTAAAGGCTAACTTATAAACTTCTGTTGTCTAAAATTCAGTCCCATCCATCAGATCCATGAAACCAGTGGGATTTTAATTGTGCAACCATTATCTAGAAACAGTTTTCAGAAGTGAATTCTTCTAAACTGAAGGAGGAAGGGAAAATACACGAGCATACCTACAGGCCTATGTAAAAGAGTTCAAGACTGTGAAATGATGAGAATTACAGACAGTATTAAAATGCAAATGTGTAACCCACCTGCCACATCATTTAGGAAACAGAAAATTAACAGAAATAATAGTCTATTTCTGGACTGCGGTCAAATGGAAACTAGAACTAAATTCTTACTGGGCACAGTGCAGTCAACATGAAGCACTTTTCTGTCCCACTGACTGAAGTAGGAGAGTTCAGCACATTTCCATTGACAGCAACAGGATTGCTGTGCTCTGCTTGCATCCATTATTTATTACAGTTTACCAGCCTCTCCAAATGAAAGGGGGTTATGTTCAAGCTGAGTATTTGGCAAACAGCTTCAGGTACTGTTATTCAGAAAGGTCTGCCTTAGTCCCCTTATGTTTGTATTGGATTTAAGAACATTATTTTTCCCCTAAGGAGGGTCAGGGTTAGTAAATACATGAGGGAATGTCCCAGAGGTCCTCTGCTGCAAGTAACCACATTGTTCGCGATGGACTGAGGCATCCTGGAAAGGGGTGCAGTCAAGGCTATTTTTGGGCAGGAACGCACAGGAACGGAGTTCCAGCTGGCTTCAGAGTTGGCCACGCCCACTACAGCCAAAACCTCTGCGTGCATAGCTACAGAGGGAAGGCCTGGAGAGCGACCCCCTGGTGACTCTGAGGTGGGTGGGCCGGGGGGGGGGTCTGGAAGGATCGGGGAGGCATTTAAATGCCTCCCCGTGCCTTCCCCGGCTTGTCCAAGGACCAGCTTGGGGCCCAGGCAAGCCATGGGAAAGCATGGGGTGTGTGGCCTAATATGCTAATGAGCTGTGCTGTCAGGGGTGTGGCCTAATATGCTAATGAGTTTCTGCTGCTGGGTGTGATCTATTATGCTAATGAGTTCCTGCTGGGCTTTTTCTACAGAAAAAGCCGTGGGTGCAGTAGTTCCTACTCCTGTAAATGTTCAAATAAACAAACACTTCAGGAGGAAGGGGCACTGGTCCTCTCCTTCTCCTGAGAGTAATTGAGGAACTAAATAAATCAGTCTGATTATGAGGCTAAAAAACACTGGGTGATATCCTACCAGCTTTTTCACTTACTTTTGCCCAATTCCCTTCCTCACCAAAACTTTGCTCCACATGGGTCCCACAATCCAGGTACAGACTTTTTTGGTGACCAGAAGAAACCTCTTCTCTCTCTATTTTTTCAGTGGAAAATATGGTTACCAGCCAGAGGCTGGCAACCAATGGGGGTCTAGGTGGGGGTGCTGTTGGCATGACAGCATTATGTCACTTCCAGGTTTTTCCCAGAAGTGATGTAACACCATCACACCAACAGCTATTTTTTGTTTTATTTTTCTCCTGGTCACCTGTGGAGTGGTGGCAGCAAACCGGAGTTAGGGGAGGAGGTCTCCTGTCTCCATTGGCAAATGGCGAGCCTGGTGGAAAGGCTGGTAGGATATAACCCACTATTCCAGCCATGAACTCAGCATTGTGGGAAGTAAAGGACATGTTTTCTCAAGCCAACATTTATATTAATATGTGCACTTTTGCACAGACTCTGCAATGCTGTTTCCCATTGAGTCATTCATGCAACAATAGGACCCGCACCAGAAATCTAACACATTATGTCCACAATACAATGGTGACCTTTGCATTCAGACAAAATTTATTCTTTATCACCTTCTCTTATTTGTCCTCTGTTGCTGTAACTGGGAGGCAAGAATGTGAGAAACCCAACTAACCTGTCCAGCAAAAATCCCGCAAACTCCAATTATGCAGAGGATATTGAAAACTGCCGAACCAACAATGGTTCCAACTCCTACATCACCATGAGTGATGAACACACCTGAAGGGAGAGCAAGAGAAAGGTCTGTGTGCATGTCTGTAAGAGTAATATTTTTTAAAAAATTAAAATAAATTGTACAATATACTCTGTGGCCTGAGAAAGCATCATTCCAGACTCAGAGTTGTGCCATGAGAAGACTTGAGCTGTGCAGCATCAACAGCCACCAGCTTCTTCAAGAAAAGGGAGGGAGGAAGGATATTTCCCTGGAGAAATATCATACAAGCAGCTTAGAGTAAGCAAAGGCTGCTCACAGTCCTGAGGAAACCAGAGGCGGTCAACTGTGCAGTGAGGAACAAAAGAGGAAATTGGGTGAAGGAATGAAGGGGAAGAGAAAAAGGAGGTAGAACATGATCAGAAGAGGCAAGAGTAACCACTGCACACAGACTGGCCAGTGGGACTAGTGAAGAGAGCAGAAACACAAGGAGGCAAGGAGGAGACTAAGAATCCAGCATTGCTGGTTGCTCAGTATATCATGCACCTGCATTCTTTTGCAACCAAATGGTAGCCGCTTTGCAGCAAGTTTGCTTACAAAAGGATAGGAAGTTATCTTTATTTGAATGTTAACCTTATATAATAAGGTAATATCATTAGGGCAGGAACCTTTTCTTCCAGGTTATTATTTACTTAAAATGTTTGTAACCTGCCTTTCTACCCAATTTGGTCCTCAAGGCTGTGAACATTAAAAATCAATAATACTTACCTGTAAAAAAGCAGTTATAATATAAACAAGAAAGAGGATGGGACACCAAATGAAGCAAAAAGCTTTTACCCTCTGGCAGGAGGGAATTCCACAGTTTTGGTGCCACAACCTAGAAGCTCTCTTCTCAAGTCACCACATATTTACCCTCAGATGACAAGGACCTCTGCAGCAGGACCCCCAAAGATGACTGCAATGGTTGGGTAGGTTTGTATGGTTGCCACCACATAGAGTTGCAGACGGCATAGCCTGTATTGTTACCATAGTCACCCTCATTACCCATAGTCATGGACAGGAGACCAAAATGAGTTGGACTATGGTGAGATAGGGCTGCATGAGCACCTCTGATCTCTTAAGTCAGTCCTGTGCAAAAATGCCCTTAGTGGAAGGTCACTGATAACAAATAGAGTCCGATATTAGACATTCACTGGAATATTTATTTTGAACATTGGTGGTATGTGCAGATACAACTTTATAGTAGCAATTCTTGCACTCTAATTTAGAAACCAATTTCACATTTTCCACTTTTGCAGGTAGCTTTCTTACCTATGACTGAAGCAAATAATTCTGGGGTTGAGCTTCCTGCAGCCATAAATGTGGCTCCCGCAACATCTTCGCTCAAATGTAGTTTCTGAAAGAAAGAAAAATCAGGACTGGTTATGTCAATTCTCTGTACCATTTTAACATGTGAGCGGGGCAGAGAGGCCAAGCTTTTAAAATGCTCCCTTTGGCTGACATTATCTATAGAATTAGAGTTGTGGCAGACCTCAAACAGGAATACACTCTGAGAAAAGTTACAAAAGATGCATTTAAAGAACGCTGGTTTGGGATTGTGTCTCATAGAAAATATGTGCTAGCAGAAGTGGAGACGATATGCACCATCTCCACCCTCCTTCATTAGATCTCTGACTTCCCCAGGTTCAGTCCCTGGCATCTCCAGTTACAGGCTCTGGCAACAGGTGATGTGAATGACCTCTGTCTGAGATCCTGGAGTGCTGCTGCCAGTTTGAGTAGACAATGCTGACCTTGATGGACCAAGGCAGCATCATGTGTTAATGTTATATAAGGCAGGTTCATGTTTCTAGAGGTTCCCTGTCTCCCATTTAGGGGATTATTTTTGGCTCTGGTAGGAGCATTCTTCAATCCTTTCTGTCGGTAGAGATTTACCTCAGGATCCAAGCATTTGACTGGTACACCTGATGTTCCTTCTCCCTTAGTATACAGATCACAACTTCATATAGTGAACATATTTATAAAAGTGAGCAAAAAATCTCTCGCACTTACCTCACAAATTTTCTCTAAAGATGGAACAAAGAAGTCATCACATACAATGGCCAAGGCATAGAACATATACAGAGCCTGTGAATGGGGAGAAAACAAACGAGTATTAAAAAGTTGGGCACCCTTGAGATATAAAAGGAAAGTCATGTTTAGGGTAAAGCCAAACCAAAAAAACACAAAAAAATTTCCTTTTCATTATTTTTCAGGTACTCAGCAAGCCGAATCAGAACTTGAAACCCAACTACTAGCTTGCTCTCCCAGGGACAGGAGGGGGGAGGAGCACTGGCCAATAGGATTACAGGTAAGGGTGGGCACACTGCTCTTTGGCCAATCACAGAAATTTGTTCTTTTAAAAAATTCTTCTGTGTATTGTTGTTGTGATGATTCTGTGCTTAAGTTGACATCAGTCCTCCTGTTCAGCTGGCATTTGCCACAATGGTACTGGGTTCTGTTGATAGGTAGGTTGGCACTTGGTTCTGCTGCGGGGCACTAGCACTAGAACACTGCACTGGTTCTGCTGCCGGCCTTGCAAGCATGCCCCCTATACTTCAGAGATTCTCAGATTCTCCTGTTGGGTTTTGGCACTGCCACAGTGGCACTGGTTCTACTGCTGGCCTTGCAAATATGCCTCCTCACACCACACCTCACTTAGTTTCTACTGCAGAGATTCTCTGGGAGAAACTGCTGGGCTGTTGTTATATCTGCCTGCCTTTGGAAACAATGGAGAATGGGGGCACCCTCTTTGGATGCACCTAGAATTGGACCCCCTGGTCCAAACTTTTCCAAACTTGGGGGTTCTTTTGGGGAGAGGCTCCAGCAGCTACAGGACAAATCTGATGCCGCTATCTCAAACCCCTCCCCTCAGCCCACTGAATATTCCTTAGAAGATTTTGTCATTGACTACAATGGCCCCATAGGAAATAAGGGAGCCGAATTTTTCTGATACCAATACATTACGGGTGTAACAGGCCGGATTAATCTGAGATTCCTCTTGGTAGTGAAGATCAAAGCCACGCTTCTGGTATTCCTGGGCAGAGTGGATGTTGGTGCTGACGGTTGAACGGAGCTTTTTATTAATGGTTGTCAGTGTATCCAGTACATCAGGGTTATCTCTTAGTAGGAAGAGACAGCAGCCCCAGAAAGCAGGCCTGGGGGGTTAATCCGGCCTGGGGGGGGGGTTATTCTAGCCTAGGCCAGAGTAACCCTGGGATTTCTCTGGCCTGGGGGTGAATGGGTGGGTTATTCTAGCCTAGGCCAGAGTAACCCCGGGGTTACTCTGGCCGGGGGGTGAATCTGGCCTGTTACAGCCGGCTAGATTAACCCGGGGTTACTCTGGCCGGGGGGTTAATCCGGCCTGTTACACCGGTATTGATATTTGGGTATATTCGGGAATACTGAAAAAAATCGGCTTCATTATACCCAAATCCAAAAAATACCATTCCCCCCCCTCCCACTGCACACTTCTAGCCATGTTCCTGATACTCATTCAGGCATGTATTGACTCTTCCTGTGCAGAATTTGTGTGAAGCTCTTTCCAGTCTGGCATGTCTTCAGACTAAACTGGGAGTAAAGACTGATATATGTTCTAAAATGTGACAAAACTGGTTAGAACTAGATTCACTTCCTTCCACGCATTTGCTATGAGAGTTTTGGGGAAATGGATTAATGAAATTCATGTTGGCAATGGGGTGGGTCTTTAAGTAGCCTCACTGGAGAGTGGCAAGCAGAGGTGGAACATTCCTGTGATAGGTACAAAATAGTCAAATGCTTCTTTTACCTGTCAGTTCTTTCCTGCCCTCAGTACAGTGGTAGAAAGTTTTACCTCATCTTCTCTCTCCCTCCCTCTCTCTGTCAGCAGCCGTGTGCACCCTTCTGAGGTCCGGTGACTTTTTGCACACAGCACTACCCCCCCCCCCATTAGCTCTCCTTTGTCTCAAACCTGTCTACTCTTTCCTCCTATTCTTCAGACCTTTAACTCATAAACCACATTCCTGTTTCTCTGGTTTATTGCCTTCCATGTCTGTTTTCTTCAGCAACTGTATCATTGGGACCCCTCTCCTTACTTTCCTACCTCTAGGAGCTTACAGCATTGTTCTCCCCTTCTTCTTTTATCCTCACCACAACAATCTTATGATGAAGTTAAGCTGAGAGTGGTGCGACCGGTCACCTAGTGAGCCTCTGTGACAGAGTGGAGCTTTGAAACGGAATCTCCAGGTCTGACACTCTAAAACCACTGCATCATGCTAGATTTCCCATTGCCCATCTTACCTCACCCACACATCTCCTTCTGTCCCAAAGCACGTGTGAGCAACAACGGAGTCAACTCACAAGGCTAGAATGTTTCAGATTTTGAAGCTGACAGTTTGCCTTGGTTCACTGAGTTGAGTTATAATAGCACTTCATTACAGTACAGTACTCAAGTACTCTAGTGTTCAGTGGGCCTCTTTCCCAGATGTTTTCACCTCATATAAAGCCACACTGATTAGCAATTTAATTGGGAGCTATTATGCCATACAATTATTCAAAAGCAAACATGAAATACATTTTTAATTCTTTTTTTTTTTTAAAGTTTTATTTAAAGTTTAACTTAAAATGTGAAAGGGTGAAATTAAATTAGTATTTTCATTATTCAAAAGCAAACATGAAATACATTTTTAATTCTTAAAAACACAGTGCGAAAAAGCATAATTTGCATTTAAAATGTGAAAGGGTGAAATTAAATTAGATGTGCAAATATGTCTAAGCCTCATTATTTCAAGGTTAGATATTGAATTATTTCAGTAATTTGCAGAATCACTGAAGAGGAGCAGTAGTTATATTGTACACAAGGCATTATGATTTTCTAAAGCAGAGTGGGGTTTTAATTTGTGGTATCTTACAGACAGTAACTTGGATCCTATGAAAAAGTTCTGTGCACACTAGAGAGTCTCTGCTGCGGCACAAGCTTCCTCTTCCTTTAAAACTTTCATTTGTGCAAGGCCTATTAGAAACAATTGATCTTGAAAAAACCAGTTTTAGTGGAAGAGAAAGTGTGCTCCACTGCAAAGACTATCCAGAGACCATGGAACTTAGTCGTATGTTCCAAGCCTACATTTATGATTGCTATCTCCCTTATAAATAAAAGCCGAATGGTAGTGGCACTTCTCTAGAACATTCCATATGCTCCAAAATCAGGTCTCCCTATTCACTGGGTGCTTTGCCTGAGTCCTGCCTCCAACATTCTAAACATTTTGCTTTTCCTCTCCCCCCCCGCCATAGCCAGTCAGAACACAGAGGTTATTTGCATATGCAGCCTCATTGGCCTCTGCCTCGGAACACAGAGGTTTTTAAGCTCCAGGTGAGGGCTGGAGATACCTCAGAATTACAACTGCTTTCCAGATGGCAGAGATCAGTTCCCCTGGAGAAAATGGTGGGCTCTGTATCCTTATATGCTGCTGAGGTGGCCCCTGTATGACAGCCAATGTGACGTAGCAGTCAGGGCTTCAGAGCACGGGAGAGGCTGCAGGTGTGTGGGGGGTGGAAAGCTGAAGAGTGAGGGGGAAATAAAGGTGGGTTGATGATTGGCTGGGAAGGAGATAGGGTCGCCAACTCCAGGTGGGAAATTCCTGGAGATGTGAGGGATGGAGCCTGGAGAGGGTGAGGTTTCAGGAGGCGTGGGACCTCAGACAGGTACAAAGCCATAGACTCCACTCTCTAAACCAACTATTCCCTTCTGGGGAACCATTGTTGCCAATCTCCAGGTGAGTGCTGGAGATCACTCAAAATTTCTTTAGGTAGCAGAGATCAGTTGCTCTGGAGAAAATGGTGGACTCAGTGTCATTATACCCTGCTGAGGTCGCCACAGCAAATTGACACTGAGTGTCCAAGGCCGAGGCACCCACCCAGAGCCTCTTTCTAGAGGCCGTTGTATTTATTTCCACAATGGGCCTTTTCCCTAGTTATTCATAAAGTATACCTTTCTGATTATGATTTGATAATGCCCTGTGATTCAGTGGTAAAGCAGCTGCTTAGCATACAGAAGGTCTCAGGTTTAATTCCGGGCATCTTCAGTTAAAAGGACCGGCAGCAGGTAATGTGAAAGACACTGGCCTGGAGAGCTGCTGCCAATCTGAGTAGACAATACGGCTTTGATGGACCAATGGTCTGATTCAATATAAGGCAGCTTCACGTGTACCCTGGTATATATTCCAACTCTCCCATGGAGGTTTATCGGGTGGTCTTGAGCCTGTCGCACATTCTCAGCCTAACCTACCTCTTAAGGTTATTGTCAAGATAAACTAGAGGAGATGAAACAGTTTAAGCCATTTTGTGTTCCCACTAGAGAGAAAGTTGGGATATAAAGACTTTACAACTCTTGGTGGGACCCATCCCACAACCTTGGGCAATGTATCTGCATGCTTGGTGCTTGGGGGGGGGGGCAACAGTGGGAGGGCTTCTAGTGTCCCGGCCCCACTGCTGGACCTCCTGATGGCACCTGGTATTTTTGGCCACTGTGTGACACAGTGTTGGACTGGATGGGTCATTGGCCTGATCCAACGTTGGCTTCTCTTGTGTTCTTATGGTCTTCTACCGTTCATCTCAATTATTTGTCATATACAAATCTGCACTCTGTAAGGGGACCTGCATGTTTAGAAGCTCTGTGTTTAATTGAGGCTGTTCACATGTTGTACAAAGCAACATTAACTTGCAATCCTATACACGCTTTCCTGGGAACAAGCTCCACCAGCTCTATGTTGGTAAATACCTGGAGGTTTGGGGGTGGAGCCTGAGGAGAGAAGGGTTTGGGAAGGGGAGGGGGGGACTTCAGTGGGGTATAATACCATAGAGACTGCCTTCCAAAGCAGCCATTTTCTCCCGGTGAACTCTGTCTCCTGGTAATCATTTGTAATCCCAGGAGATTTCCAGCCACCACCCGGGGGTTGGCAAACCTAGCTCATGTGATTGTATCTATCAAGTGTACAATAAACCATACAGCTTGGAATCATATCTGATAAGCTTGGAGGGGAGGGTTGCTATTACTTGTCTCAGATAATTTTGTTGTTTGCCTTACTGGAACACATTTACAATATACAGCTATATTTAACTGCATCAGCAGGTGCAAGTGGGCACACTGCATTTTTTTTTTTCAAATACAGAAAAAGTTTGCAACTGAAACCTGTTTTTATGGGGAAAGACTTAAGGAATTATAAATATATACTTATTCTAACTTCTACAGTCTAAACTACGCATTATACACAAGCATTTGCAAGCATGCATTTTGGTTAGGGGTGTTTTTCAAAATTCAAGTACCCCCCTTTTCCAAGTTCAGTCTGGAAGAGAAAAGATCCACTCAGGGCTTTTTTCTACTAACAAAGCAGGCAGTTCTATTGAGGAATGATCATTCTGATGAGAACTCATCTGAGTGATCAAGACTCACGAACAAGCTGGCATACTGAACAAGACTGAAAGTTCTTCCTTTATAGGATAAAACAGGCAAAAGATCAGGGCCTGGTATTTGGAAAAAAAAGGTTCAACCATTCTGTTCTTAAACATAATGTACTCTAACCTCTGTTTAGAGTACATTTCACATTCCTAAGAAGGGCACAAGGAAAACTTTATATAGTTTCCCTGAAAGAGAAGAATGACACCATTCTTGACTGAGATGTAGTTGCTTAGAGACCAGGAGGTCAAAGAAACCATTTTGGGTATGGGTGAAAATAAGGGCAGGAACATCCTCAAACACAGATAGGGTTGTCAGCCCCCAGGTCCCAGCAGGGATTCCCCTGCTTTTGGGGACTGCAGAATCTGATACCGGACCTCCTCTAAGGACGGTTCCGAATGCCCGACTCTGCCTTATGTATGACAGTGGGCGCGGCGTGAGTAATTTTCCCGTGTATACAGAGGGCGGATCGGACAACGAACGCTCCTATTTCCCAGGAAGTGAGACAACACGCTAGGTTTAATGAATAAATGTTGCCTTTTACTAAGCAGTTCTCAAGCATACGAAAAACAGATGCACACGCAGATTCACACAAGTTCCTTAGTTACAATAGTATATAGAAAGCAATCAGCATGAAAAGCAATAAATCCAACAGACAAGGGGATAACACAACAGGATATCGCTTATACTTATCTGAGGTCCAAGCTGAGAAGAAATCTCCTCGTAGAAGAAATGGGGGAACTTAAGTAACAACTGGTGGAATTCTAAGACACACGGACTAGTCCAGCCAGCCACGTGCGGGTTCTCTGGTCGCGACTTCAGAGAACGCAGTAAGAATCACCTGCAGTACTTAAGTTGCAAGGTGGGGAAGGGATGGGTTAACCAGAGAAACAAAGGCTGTGTTTCTCTTTTTAAAAGCTTGTTTTTGGGCTTGGCTTAAGGCCAATAAACCCCTAGAAAACCGTCCCCTTTACTATGCTATAGGTTAGAAGGGTTGTGACATCCTAGTTGAGGGGAAGGGGGCAATATTCAAATGATCTGCCCTAACTTCAAAGGGGAGCCATGTGGCCAGGTGTCAAAAGTCCGTTCTCTTGGCAACTTTTGACTTGCAGAGATGTGCCTGGTCCAGGAGGCAATAAAGGATATGTTCTTTGTGATGCCAAACCGGATAGGAAGATGGGTTACGTGGTTTCCCACAGATCAGCAATGGTGGGGAAACCTGTTGTTCTGCCAACTTTCAAAATGAGCGTAATGGCGTTTGTCGTCTCTGTCCTGAGGCACGCTGGGAAAGTGCAGGGAAGCACGTGTTCTGTAGCACAAGCCTTGCTCACCCAAACGCAAGCATGAGATGCCAAGCAAGCCATACAAACACACAGCAATCCCCTTATCCCATAGGCACAGATGTACAGACTATTAACAGACATAGCATCAGCACAGTACAGACAATGCAGTTACAAGCACACATGGTAACAGGGCTGACGTGATGACCTCACTTCTGCGTGACGTCATCACACTGGGGACATCACGCAGCGACCAATGATCCCTCTAATCTGTGTAGGGTTACCAGCAATGCTGCCATTGTGTGTGTGTGTGTGTGGGGGGGGGTCTGTGGAGTGAACATCTTAATATCCTGGAATGCTGGTTTCATTTTTCTCACTTGGCCTTATCTTGTTGCCTGACCTTGATGCTTAGCACTCTCGCCTCCCTGGGAACCTGTAGTCATTTTCGGCAGGCAAGGCTTGCACCTCTGATTGGATTAACTCCATCAGGGCCCTCCACTTCAAACACAGTATATCTTCCCCTCTCCCGCCTGTTGGGTTAGCCTTTACACAGAATGTATGCACAGATGACCTGCTTCTACTGAACTCAATAAACTTGATCCTTTGGAAGGAATGTTGTTGAGCCTGAGTTTGTGGGAATCTGACAGCTCCCTCTAAGCTGTGGAGTCTTGTGAGCAAAAATTGTGCAGGAAAGGCAGGATATAAATAGAAAATAATAATAAATTAATAAATAAAATTCTACTTTGTGAGCTACTGGCAGTAAAGTTGTGAGTGAGCGACTTGACTACTGCATAAATTAGTTTGCTCTGGAGCCATCCTTCCTGAGCTGAGACAAAAATGTGTGAGCCAGAGGCTAAAAAACTGTGAACTAGCTCACACTACCTCCGCTTAGAGGGAACACTGGGAGTGATGCTCTGGTTTTTGGGCAAACTGTGGTTTTGAAGGCAACAAACCATAGAGTTTTGCCGAAAAACCAGAGCGCTGCATGTGACGTCACTGACACGATGACATCACTTCTGGGTGACATCCCACCCCTGGAATGCCTCCCCAAATCCCCCCACCACGACAGCGAGGGGACCTGGCAATCCACAAGATAACAGACCAATCTTCAGGCTCACTAATCAAAGTTATTGTGAAAATCTTAAATCTTTCTTAAATTCTTACTGGTGAAATAAGATTGTCTAATAATTTAAAACCCTGTGGTGACAAAAGCTGTTGGGGGTCCATGTGTGTTCAGTTTCAGGCAGGAGAGTAATGTCCAGAGAAAGGCTTAAGCATCCCCTCCCCTTGAGACGGAGGGTGAGAGAGCTAAAGGCCAAGACAGGAGCTTGGTTTCACACTGTGTGATGTCTGAGCAGACTTCCTGCCCCTGCTCCATTTCATGTCTGCTGCTTCTGGGTTGGGATAAGATGTTACATGATTTATACTACTAGCCATAATCTAAAATGGGGGAGAACATATGTAGTAGCTCCTGATCTTAGCAACAGCCATGTTTTCTGCACAATGCCCAATTTGACCTGAGATCTGGCTAGTTAGGCACCAGACAGCTCTGTCAACTCAGGCAGAGTTCCATTTGGAAACTGTTATTCACACCAAACCTAGGATGTGTTAGGTGAAAATACCCAAGTTGAGGAATAAGTCTGGCTCAGTGTTCCCTCTAAGGTGAGTTAGTGTGAGCTAGCTCACAGTTTTTTAGCCTCTGGCTCACACATTTTTGTCTTAGCTCAGGAAGGATGGCTCCAGAGCAGACAAATTTATGCAGTAGCCAAATGGCTCGCTCACAACTTTAATGCCAGTAGCTCACAAAGTAGAACTTTTGCTCACAAGACTCCACAGCTTAGAGGGAACATTGGTCTGGCTTATGCTTTTTGTGCAGCAGCAGCAACACATTCTGTAGAAATGTGAACATATTCATATAACTTACACCAATGATATGAAGCAGCACGGCTCCTTGCTGTCTCTCCTTGTTTTTGAATACATCATCTGGAAATTCATGAATGGCTGAAAGACAAACGATGAACAGGAAAGGTTGGCTGAGGTAGACCAAAACAGTAAAATTGATACGGAGGAAAACAGCTTAAATAGTCAAAGAAGGTCAGGGTCAATTGAGGGCACTGCAGATAGCTACACATCCCTGTTTCTCTGGGGGGGAAACCCCTTAGTAAACTCAAATAAAGCTCAATCCAATTAATATTCCTGAGGTAGAGACTGTGGCCTCAATACTCCAAGGAGCAGCATGCATGCAGAAACCTGTTTCTAAGTAGATATCTAACTGAATAATGCATAAGCGGCCTCAGGAGTGAGGGGAAACCCTTCAACAAAAACACATGACTGAAGGGGCCAGTGCAGACCTCAGCAAACATCTCAAAATATGGAGGCGTAAATGACAGCTCTTGCTGGAAGACCTGCCCTTAAGAGATGGAGAATGGCAGGGAACTCACATAGCTGGAACAAATCAAAATGGTAACGGCTATCCTGGGACTGTGCATGAGGGACAACTGATCAAGAGCTAGTGGTGGTGGCTCTGATTCACTTCCATTTCGGATAGGGGATTCCTTGATCAACAGGCGCCAATAATTTGTGCCCCTCCAGTGTCTAAAAACCATTGGCTCTTCCTCCATCCCCCGTAATTCAAGCACAGACATCATTACAAATATAAGCACATCTGAGAATACCACGATGGTATTTTCAAATCGCTCCTCTGTAGCTGTTCAGAGTAGTGACACTGGACTGAACAGCTTAGTCAGAGGTGACAGGGGATGACCTCCAAACGTGGCTATAAAACAACACCGGGGGTAAGCAGTTAAATTCAGCCCTGCAAATTGTGGAAGGATCAGGGACCTGCACCCAGAACCCCCAGGGTCCAAAGGGTCAGTGTGAGACCAGCCCGGAGTCTGAATTCATCCCCGTTGGCTTTACACGAACATACTATTTATTGAACTTCATAAAAAAGAGTACAGAAAACGAATGAATCCAACACTTATTATAGTGCACTAAAAAAGAAACCCCAAAAGGAACATTCCCTGTCAATTCACCAAGACCTTCCCAAGAGGTATTGGCGAAACAGCCACAGACAGTGTAAAGAAAGCCAACTTCTACCCTTCTGCTCACCTATAGGATTCAATGCCAGATGCCACTCAGGAATAGGGTGGTCTTTGATAGAAACCAGACCCCACCCCCTTACTGATGGTATGAACTCCTTGCTCAGTTATGAACCTTTGCCCAGATATATGTGTGTGTGTTCTTAGATAGTACGGTGCCTCACCTACTAATCTCAAATGTTTAGGCTAGGAGCCTGGTACATGTAGGCTCTGGAAGGCATATGAACTTGGGCAAAGGTACATTAGGAGGGCAAGGCTGTAGCTTAGGCATGTAGCTTAGAGAGCAAAGGTTCATGGGACTTCAGAACCAAGAAAACAAAGTCAATTATAGCAAAACCTCCATAGCATAGAAAAACAAAAAGGCCCAGGCTCATTTAACCCAAATTCTGCCACACAATAAGCACGCTCAAATTACTGACCTACAAAAAAGTTATTAGCTTTTCTAACTACTATTTATGTCAGCAATTTCTGGCCTGAAATAAGATACACTCGATTAACATACATCCAAAACACACACCCAACAGACGCACAAAGTCTATCATCATAAAGGGCGATTCTGCATTGGCTTTTCCCTCTGTTGTTTTAGCAAACCCAGAACAGAAATTTCCATCTGCCTTGCATGCTGCTTTCACTCCCTTTGATCATCAGATTTTATGGTACCTTCTGCATTGCATGCCACTTTCACTTTCTTTGATCATCCGTTTTTATGGTACCTTCTGCATCTATTTATGGCTGTTTTATGGCTGTTCAGGGGTGACTCCTCCTCCTCCCCCTCCTCCTCCTCACTTCTGTGATCTAATGAGATCGGATCAGACTGGCCAGCCAAGTCAGGACAGATTTTTATTGCTACAGAGCACTTCTAGGCTCACTGGTTCAATTCAAACACAGTGAAGTTATCTGCAGTCCTTGAACTTAATTGCGACCATTTCACTTCACCTCTTCTGGTAAAGGACTGTGTGTATCAGTGGTAGAGCCCCTGTTTTACATTAATAAGGCCCCAGAGTCATTCCCCAGTTAAGGCCCCAGAGTCATTCCCCAGTATCTCCACAAAAAGGAGCTTTAGGTATTAGGTGCTCGAACTTATCTCTGCATGAGAACCTGGACAGCCATTGCCAGTCAGAGCAGATAGTACTAACCAATGGTCAGCTTAAATTAAAGGTAAAGGTTTCCCTTGCTCAAAAGCCAGTCAAATCCGACTCTAGGGTGCGGTGCTCATCTCCGTTTCAATGTCCAAAGACATTTCCATGGTCATGTGGCTGGCATGACTAGATGCTGAGGTGCATGGAACGTTGTTACCTTCCCACCGAAGTGGTACCTATTTATCTACTTGCAATTTCTTGTTTTCAAACTGTTAGGTTGGCAGGAGCTAGGGACAGAGACGGGAGCTCACTCCGTCATGCAACACTCGGGTCTTGAACTGCTGAACTACCGACCTTCTGGCCTGCAGTTCAGCGTCTTAACCACTGAACCACTGCAGCCCCTCCCCATATATTTGCTTTGTTTTTCTCTCTTTCTCCCTTTCTTCCTCCTTCTCCCATTTGCTTTCTTTCCACCTTTCTTTCTTTTTCTCTCTTTCTCCCTTCCTTTTCTCTCTCTCTCTCTCTTCCTTCCTTCCTTCCCCCACCGTCCTCCATTTATTTTCTTTCTTTCTTTCTCTCTCTCCTCTTTCTTTCACCTCTCTCTCTCTCTTAGACAAAAAAAATCATTAGCAAACAAATAAATATCATTATCAATATCTGTTTTTACCCCTTTTGTTTCCATTAAAAATGTGTGTAATATTTGTTCATGTCTTGTAGCTCTCGAACATCTGACATTTATTCTATGTGGCTCTTACGTTAAGCAAGTTTGGCCACCCCTGCTCTATAGCATTATACCACATTACAGTGGCAAAAGACAGGACTGAGGGACAGGGGCAAGTTCCTCCCTCTTCACAGGATCCAGAGGTGTGTGTGAGGGAAACTTTGAGGAGGGAGAGAGGCACCTCATGCTCCAAGGAGCTCTGGAACATCCCACACATATGCAGTTCCACTGTGGGACTGCACAGACAGCATGACAATAAATTTTAATGGGGGGGGGGGGGGGGGGGGGGGGAGAAGTACACATCCCCTTGCTTTTATTCCAGAACTTCACAGTCCCACAGAACATAGAACACTGTAGAATTCTGCAGTCCCCTTGGAAAGATATCTTACTTGTTTTTACATTCTGATCAGGTAACCCCATGTAGAACTCTTGCTGACAGCTTGCTAAGAAAGTAATTGGAGATTGGCCTTACTCATACTAATAGCCAAATAGCTGTGCCAATCTAAAAGTAAAAGTCAAGAATACAATCCATGTAATACCATTCATTTGGGACCAACCCAATGATGGCATAACAGCGTTTAAGCTTTTGAGTTCAGCAGAATTCTTTATCAGGCCAGATGTAAATAAAAAAGAAGGAAGAAAGCAGATTTTTCAGGTCATGATTTTACGATATTATCATGCCAGCATATGGTGGATCTTAGTCAGGTAGAGAAGAATTACCCAAATAGACCAGAGACCTGAGAAAGCATGGACAAATAAGACGTCACATAACCGGATACTCCCTTCTCTCCAAAACAGTGCAGTGTTAGTATCCTTAGACTAGCCTAATGGCACTCACTGGTCTCATCCTGACTTTTACTAGATATTTCGCATTCCTCAACAGGCCTTGCCATTAAGATCTCCCTTCAATAAGATGAAATCGTGAATTTTGACATTTAGCCATAACTTTCATTAGGCAAAAGAGATGTGCCATCTACATCTGTTCGACAACAGGATGCTACTGATTCTGACTACAAGGCCATTGCAAGCCCTCTGAGTAACATTCATGATAAGCCGCAGAGTACTAAAGCTGGGATCCTAAGCTTTCTTTTCACATGTGCCCTTCATCTATTGAGGAGGTTATCTTCCACTGTGGACCGCATTCCTCTACTGCTGTGTACTTTTCAGCTCATTGGAAGTCATGTATGAACAGAAGTGCCTAAAGCTGGAAGAAGGCCCTCTGCCAAGGAAGACAGCACCACAACGAAAAAGGCTCTGTGCGAGCAGAAATAAGGCTTAGGATCCAAGCTATAACATTTTTATAGATGTTCTGAGATGCAAGGGAAGATTACTTGTTTCCCCTTGAAGGGCGATGCAAAAGGTTGATTTTGGAGGCTATGGAGGAAAGAGGAAGCATGAGGCAGGTCATCCTTCTTGAGTTTCCTGCATGCCTCGTCACCTCTGAAGCCACTTCAAAAGGTATCCAAGAGAGGGATGCTGAAAGTCACAAGCAAGCTACCAGTAATTTGCTCACACCTTCCCCATTGTTATGGGACGAATGTCTGTGGCACTGCAATACTTAGGACATGCTACATATTTATTCTGGAGCAAAAGTGATGTTATTAATCTTCTGGGATGCAGAAGAGGATAATCCATAAAATGGCCGTTAAGCATGCACTAATCGTTCGTGGCTTTTGTCAATTTTTCCAGAGGCCAGAATGGCTTCACATGATCTAAAACCAATATTACAAAGTCAAAAAAGCTACCTAAAGTCACTTGCAACTACACAGGCATTATTTCTGTGGTGCATTTCTCCGTGGTGCGCATGCCATTCAATTGTTTCAGAGTAGGCAGGATACATCCATCCCCTCTTATTGTTAACTAGCAGGGTTGCTTGGCAATAAATGTAGTGATATGGGGGAGTAGTGTTGCCAACTCCAGTTTGGGAAATTCCTGGAGATTTGGTGGTACAGCCTGGGAAAGGAAGGGTTTGGTGAGGGAGCTCAGTTGGGTAGAATGCTATAGAGTCCACCCTCCAGAGCAGCCATTTTCTCTAGGGGAACTAATCTCTATAGTCTGAAGATCAGTTGTAATTTCGAGAGCTCTCCAGGCCCCTCCTGG